CCCTCTTCTTTCTTTCTTCTAGTTGAGCTGGTCATCCAGTCATTGAAGCCAGGTCAAGTGGGTGTTCTTATGCATATGTCCTCTCTTCTTTGGGTGATGAGTTTTGACAGTTGTGAACACTGATTTGTCCACTATGGTCAGCATAGAGAACATGCCCATCAGCTTCAGAAGTCACCTCGTATCCCTCTACAACCAACCCCAGTCCCCAGAACACCAATCCTAAGACTAAGCTGCTGCTTATCACTAGATTTGTTTTTCTAGAATTTCATATATATGAATCATACAGTAAGTACTGTTCACTGTCTAGATTCTTTTGTGTAACATACAGTTCTTGAGATTCATCCATGGTGTTGTGTAAAACAGTAGTTCATTCCTTATTGTTGTTGTGTAGTATCTCATACTGTACAATTTTCTTAATTACATGTTATGGAAATTTTTGTGTATTTCCACTTGAGTGCTGTTATGGAGAAAGCACCATTAGACACTAGTGACCAAAGACCGGAAGAATTGGGGGTTGACATCAAGAACATCATACATGAAGGGAGCAAAAAGTCATTAAGAAGACAAGAAAGAAGGAAAAGGTCAAAATGGATGTCAGAAGAGACTCTAAAACTTGAGCTTAAAAAATGTAGAGAAGCTGAAGCAACTGGAAGAAATGATGAAGTAAAAGAACTGAATAGAAAATTTCAAAGATCAGCTCGAGAAGACAAAGTGTTTTAACGAAATGTGCGAAGATCTGGAGTTAGAAAACAGAGGGAAGGAAGAGCAGCCTCAGCATTTCTCAAGCTGAGGGAACTGAAGAAAAAGTTGAAGCTTGTTGTTGATGAATGCGTGGAGTCAGTTCCAACTCATAGTGACTGTCTAGGGTTTCTGAGGAGCAGTTGGTGGGTTTGAACCTCCAACTTTGCGGTTCAATCCAACCTCGCCGCACTGCGCCGCGCCACACCAGGACTGCATTGGTACTAAGAATAAACAAATCTATCTCTGAAGAAATACAGCTCCTTAGACGCATGGACAGTGAGACTTTAGTATTTTGGACATGGTCTTAGGAGGGACCAGTCCCTGGGAAAGGACATTGATCTTGGTAAAATGAAGGATCGGTGAAAAACGGGAAGATGCCAGATGAGCTGGATTGACCACGATAGCAACACCAGGCTCAGTCACAGCACGTCGGAGGATGGTGCAGAACCAGATAGTGTTTTGTTCTGTTGGGCTTAGAGCTACAATGCCTCGGAACTGACTTTGTGACCTAACAGCAACAATGATGTGGAGGAAACAGATTCAATTACAAATTCCTGTGATGACATATACTTACATTTTTCTGCAGTAAGTGCCTAGAAATACCGTATTATTGATATTAAGTGTTGTTGAGTCAGTTCTGACTCATAGGAGGAGCTGGTGGACTTGAACTGCTGACCTTGTGGTTAGCAGTCTAGTCCTTTTCCTACAGCGCCACACCAGAACTCCATTAGTACAGTACCTGGGTCATATGGTTGGGGTCGTATGTTAAGGATCATGTGATAAGTGATAGTACTATTTTACAATTTTAGCGACATTGCATAATGGTGGTTTTCTTCATGTGTTTTTTTGTGAGGGGCTCATTTTGCTTCCTGTGTCTATGACCTGATAGTTCTCTTCTAATTTGGAAATCTTTCAGCCATTATTTCTTCATGCTTTTTTAATTTAAAATTTTTTTTAAAATCCTTCTCCCTTCTGCTTTTGAGACACTGAGATTACATGTTGTTGTAAGTGCCGTGGAGTCGGTTCCGACTCACAATGACCCTGTCTAGGGTTTCCAAGGAGTATATGGTGGATTTGAACTGCTGGCTTTGTGGCTCACAGTCCAGTGCTGATCCTACAGCGCCACACCAGGATTACCTGTTTGATTGATTGATACTGCCCCACACGTCAGAGCTTTGTTCATTTTCTTCTGAGAGGTTTTCTGTCTTTGCTTCATGTTGGTTTTTCTATTGCTGTGTATCTCAGTAAGTTTGTTGGTCTTTGTGTCTATGGTGGTGGTGGTGGCAGTGTGCCGTGGAGTCGGTTCCAACTCATAGTGACCCTTAGAGGGATCCTGTAGTGTCTAATAATTGTATCAGTGACAAAAGTATGACAGAGTTTTTCATTTGTAGAATTCCTATCTTTTGAATTTTCTCTTTTTATTATTTTCATGATTTCCTTTAAGTTCTTGTACACAATATTTATAATTGTTGTTGTTAAGTGCCGTCGAGTCGATTCCGACCCACAGCGACCCTGTGTGGGGTTTCTAAGGAGCAGCTGGTGAGCTTGAACCACCGACCTTGCAGTTCAAACGATTTTGCAGTTTGACGCATTAAAAATCTTCCGTGTTTTGATTCTGCGTTCTCTATAATTTCTGGGTTTATTTCTATTGACTGACTTTTCCTCTGATTTATGAATCACATTTTCTTGTTTTTACAGTTTATTTCTTTGTTGTTAATTGAATCTTGGGCATTTAAAATGTTACAGTGTTGATTGCTTGACTTTTATTGCCTTCTTTAAAGCTTGCTGAAGCTTATTTTGTCACATACTTAAGTAAGTTGTCATGAAACCAATCAATCTCCCTGCCATCGAGTCGATGCCCGTTCATAGCCACCTTGTAGGGTAGACTAGAACTCCTCTTTAGGGTTTCTGAGGCTGTAAGCCTTTACAGGAGCAGACAGCCGCAGCTCTTTTTTTTTCCAATGGAATAGCTGGTGGGTTTCAACTGAGGACCTTGTGATTAACCTACCACCTCACCAGAGTTCCAGATTGCTTGTAAATCAGCTTGTATTTTTACCACTTGTTAAGGTTTTGAAAGAAGGAGACTGAGGACTAGGAGGAGGAGATGGAATGTGTGGCTAATTACCTCCATGAGACCAGAAGAACTGGGTGGTGTCCAGTTACCATGACTAAACATTTTGATGAAAGATTTTATAGAAGGCTCTTGATCTTTCTGGAGCTATAGAGACTGAATGAACCCCTGAAACTGTGCCCTAAGATCATCTTTAAACCTTCAACCAAAAATATTCCCTGAAGTCTTCTTTAAAACCAAACAGTAGTTGAACTAGTAAAAAAACAAAACAAAACATGCCTTGGGCATTGTGCTCTTTTGGTCTATCTCTGTGGGATCAAATGAATGACAGCAGTTGGAAAGATGAGCCGGGACCTTGATTGTGCAGTGAGTTTATACTAATGAGAGTAACAACCCGAAAGGCACGTGAGAATGCTTGTATTCTCTAGGGATATAACCAGTGTCCTGAATTGTGCATGTAGAAGCTACTGAATTTTTGTATGTTTTGTTTTATTTATTCTCAACAGCAACAAAATAAATTTAAAAGAACTGTTAAGTTGTCTTTTTGTTGTTTTTTTCTTTTGAGCAGCATTTCATACATAGGTCTGGTTTGGTTCCACCACAAGGATGACTCTGTTGAGGGTTATCTATTAAGTAGACCCATATTCAATGAGAGCTCTCCGTTCTGGCCAATGAGAACTCAAATGAGGTACAATCCTGTGTGAATTCTGACAACTGTTTGGCTTATACTTTCTCATTAATTGTTCCTTACCTGACATTTATTCCTGGGCCAGCCTTCTGGACTTTCACCCTGTGTCTGAGGGATATATTTTCACCCTTACACAGGGAGTCTCTTGTGATGATGTTTGGAATTCTTTTGATAAAGCAAGCCCTGGTGTGGCATTGTAGCATAAGCAATAGACTAGTAACCACAAGGTCAGCAGTTCAAACTCACCAGCTTCTCTCAGAAACCCTTTACAGGGTCATTATGAGTCAGACTGACTCAAAGGCAAACAACAACAGCTTTTATATAGCTTCTCCCCTCCAGTGCTGTTCAACAAATTCTTGTTGTCTCTCATCTCAACTCAAA